AAAACCCCCCCCCCCCCCCCCCAAAAAAAAAAAGAAAAAAGAAAAAACCTCAACAGTCAGTGATGGTAGAAACCATGTTATCAAGTGTTTGAACACCATGGCTTAATTGAAGAATTGAAGAAGGGAGAATGCAAGAGAACGAAAACAAAAGGTTTGGGTTTACAGACTTATATCACAGATAGATTCTTTTTCCTTTTATTCCTAAGAAGAGTAATTGTCGGTAACAACAAAAACAAGGCCAGCAACAAATAGATGAGTCAGACCTCATACCAAAGCATTCTGAAGGCAAATTTTGAGAATAGCTTTCTCGTCTACGCCTGCTTGAATCTTCATCTTCCAGGTCCACAGATAAACATCGTGTTGATCTGCACAAATTAGAAAAGTTCATCAGCAAACGAATATACAACTAAAATGATAGCAAATGAATAGGTCCAAATAAACATAATACAAACAAATGATAGCAAATGATAGTTTCTCTGAAACACAGCAACAAGGCAACGCATAATTATTTGGTTTCAATTGGTAAGAAAGTTGCAAAGACGTGTATACATCTGGAGCTACAGCAGATATCCATAAGAATAATAAATAAATTATATGCAGAAAATATTTGATTCTGAGCTTGGGAATCATGCAACCAACAAGATCATCTAAGTTATCCATTTTTAATTGTCACCTATAAAGTTGAAGGGACAATTTTACAGATATTAGTACATAACACTGGGCTCTGGAACGTGGACAGAACCATCCTACTGGTGAAGTAATGTCAAAGATCCTAAAATTGGATGATAGTCTTATCCAAATCTTTTAGAACAAAAGTTCCCTGGGTGCATAACAGTGATATCGGGTAGAAGAAGATAGTGTTGGAGACTTTAGGCCCAATGGAGATGATGGACAGAGAAAAAATGATGCAATATGCATGAAAATTGGTCCAATAACATTGCTGGGATAAAACATACATATTTCATAGAAGATCAGTGATTCATCTTCATGATAGTGTAACACAAACAACAGAAACCTAAAACTAGTTGAACTACTAATCTTGCATTCATTTTAGCTCATTCTTGGTGAGTTCACCTACATCTTCCGGATCAGTTGTATAATTGTTCCTTTGCATGCATGCTCATATCGCTAAGGGCTCAGCAGGATTAAATTCTCGTATAATGTTGGAGCATTCTATTTATTAGTCTTTTGTAGCTTCATTATCTCATTGAAGAAATAGTGGGAAGCTTGCTCACATATGCAATACAGCACATGTATACATGCCCAAGAAAAGAGAGAAGAAAAGGAAAAGGAAAAAAAAGGAGGAAAAACAATTAATTCAAATAGACACCCCTAAGCATAAACAAGCACATGTGCATGTGGTACAATTGTGCACAAGATACAATAGTAAAGATAATTCACTTGAAGATATTGATTGTAATTTGTGAAAACCCTTCCTGAAATTTACAAGAAAATCTCACTGTAGAGACAACAATTTCGGCTCCGTTTGGATACCATGGTGTTTTACTTATTTCCATGGTGTTTTTGCCAAAAACAGAAGTTTTTGAGCTAAATCATCCTCAAACAAAAAACACAACACTTATCTCAAAACACCTTTTAGGTGTTTTAAGTTTGATGTTTTGGTTTTGAGTTTGAGAAGGTGTTAATATAATATCTAACATAAAATAAAAAAGTTATTGATAATAAATAATAATATAATAATATACTATACAATAGTATAATCGCTATAATATGATTAACTTTTTAATAAATAAATTGAAATAAAATAATAATTATAAAATATTATATAATAGTAACATATTTAATAATAACATAACAATATAATAATAACATATTGTATAGTAAATGTAATATAATATATAAAATATTAATATATTATGTAATAAAATAATATAATTTATTATAAAGTAAAATAATTTTAATAATAAAATAATTCATTGCTAACAAATGTTGATGTAAAAATAAGATATTCATAATATAATAATATTTATTTATATCGTAAATACTAATATATTATTAAAGTACTATTAAAAAACTCTAACATATTAAAAACAATAATATATCATATAATATTAAAATATTTATAATATATTAATTTATTAATAACATAATATTAACATTATTAATAATATTATATTATATGAATAATAGTGTAATATTATATTATATTAATAATAGTATAATATTATATTAATAATAAAATAACATTATTATAAAAATATTAATATAATATACACAATAACAAATTGATATACCAAAATAATTAAATGTATAATTATATCAAAACAATATGTAATAATTATAATATAATATAACTCGTTAAAGTACAATATAATATTATAATACATTATACAATATTATATTGCATTACATATAATACTTATAAGACTATAATAATGTAAACTAAATATTATAAGTTTATAACATTTTATTTATAATATATTTTATTATAATTAATATATAATATATCAATAATATGTTTAATACTAATGTTATAATGGGTCAAACTTGTGTTGACCAAAAATACTTAACGTGGTGTTTTTAAAAATATTTAAAGGAAAACACAATGGTATCCAAACGAAGCCGAAATCATGAAAATTAGAAAGATGAGGTAGTTTCCAATACACCAAAGTCACTGAACTCTATGCTGTAATTAAAGGTTGTCTTGAGTGATGAAAAGAAGCAGTGAGATCAGATGGATTTACCGGAATTTTGTGTCTCTAGGACCACATGGTTCCACCTTAATTCTCTTGCCAGCAATTTCACGTGTGTTTAAAGCTGAAAAAGCAGCTTTACGAATATCATAAAACTCTACAGACCTGCAATGCTGCTTGCGTGGAATTTCACAGATCTGTGGCAGAAACAGAAACAGGATTTAACCATTTGCATTTAGAAGAAGTCATCCAGAAAACAAGCGTGATTACAACCAACTCACCTCTTTGATTTCCCCATAAACTCCAAATATATGAAGAACGTCATCATTTGAAACAGAGGGATCGAGGTTGGTTACCATGAGCACACCCTCGTTGGTATCTGCCTCCAAAGGATTATCCTGCTACCAGATTGCCCACAATCAGTTAGCAAAATGCTAATATTGCATTGCCAAGTGCAGCCATATGTGAAACAACACGCGCTAACATAAAAGCTAAAGTCAATTGGAAGGAATAGACAAAATAATGATAATGCTGAAATGACAATAAATAAGGTAACCTCTGAATATTTGCACATATAGAATAAGAACATTAACGGCTTCTTCACATTAAAGCAAAAGGTATAAGCAAATCTCATTATTAGATACATATGGCTCCAGTGAATTCCATCCACTGTGCCTACATGAATTCTGATTTTTACATGAATCATGCCTTTTATTAAGAACTATATCAGGATCAGCAATGCAAATTTTCGTTCTCTTCCAACAAAGTTCCATAAATTCGTTGATTTTGACTGTCACTCTCCAATTAATTTTGCTACTGCAGGAAGCAAATGTAGTATTAATAAGTTAATAAACTATTGCACATATAGATAATGTTTAAATTAAAGAAGAGAGATAATTATCATGGTTATCTCAAGATATACCCATGGTATATCGGTCTCATGGGACCTGTACAAATTGAAAGTAGATAAAGAACATAGATCTAAAAGGAAGGCTAACCTAATATATTAAAAGAGATGATAATTGATGTTAAGACTACTTAGGAGATTTCAATACGACAATACCTTTGAAATGCAAAACTGTATATCAAGCTTCTGGCCCTTAATTGACTTGGTTTGAAGAACCCTCATTGCATTTTGTGCAGCCCTGATATCATAGTATGATACCATCATAAATCCACGATGGATGCACAATGTATAAAGGGTCCTCACATCCCCATATTGCTGAAACAACGCAGAGAAAATACATCAGATAAGAAAGATGGAAGGGACTGGAGGATGAAATTTAAACAATGCTATACTACAAGTCCAAGATATTACAACAAAAATACCTCGAAAATAGTCCTCAGCTCAATATCGTTGATGCTACTATTGATATTTTTCACAAGAAGAGTCCTGGTCAGCTGTTCACCAGATTGGAGTTCACTGGCAGGAAGGCTATGGAATCCTCTTTCTCCGGAAGTAAAAGCTCCACGATAACTATATTCAGAACCTTTCTTGCAGCTGAAATTATCATCCGATTCTAGTTCCAAGCCACCCACACTGTAAAATAGGTCATCTTCGAAATCCGTAATGTTCGACTTTGAAACATACCCAAGATCGTGGATAGCTCCAGATAGCAAATCGTCATCATCAGGAAGGAGATCTCCGATTGTTTGTGCTTCTATTTCTTCTAAGGATTCAAAAGCTTCATCCTCCAGAATGTTGGATTCAAATGCATTAACAGATTGACCAAGAAAGACATCATTTGATGATAACCTCGCTGCATCATCCATGTGGGAAAAAACAGTGTGTTAGATAAACTATTTTAAGGTAATATAAGTGATTTCTATGAAAGATAGCAATAATTTTAAACTTAATGGTTTGGTAAATATTGAACCTCGAAATAAATGGAAATCAAACAGTAAATAATAAGATCAACATCACATAAATTATTAGATTTCCTAATGCGGGGATTCATGTGCAACAAAGAGAACATGCAACAGAAAAGGAATAGTAGAGTTGCACGTTTGTTTGCTCGAGAAGAGAGAATTCTCATGGTGGCCCCTGCCTAGAGTACTTCTTTCGGTTTCTACTGACAATGACGCAGGTTGACAATTTGACGTTGGTTGGGGTGCAACATCCTTGTCAGGAGCTTTCTGCAACCTTGCTAGTTATCCCCAGAAAATAAGGCTACAAAGTATGTGGGATATTTCTTTTGGGGTCTTTGAAAAAACTGTGCAGAAGCTCTAAGCCAGCCATTCACATAATTCCCTCCCATAGGACGAATATTTTCTAGAAATAACGGAGAAACTGGCTTGCCTCCTGACATGAATGGCATAGCCTCTAGTCCAACAAAATTTAAAAAATTCAGATTAAGTTGATGAAAAGACAGATACAAATGAGAAAAGCATTGTTTTCTGGCGGAAATGAACACGGACGTATATAATAGTCACCAATGAGATAATAAAATTATTTGGACTAGGAATCCATGCAATGCCAGAATTAATGTGTTAAAAGAGGCTTTGAATATTCGTCTCAGCAGTATCCTGAAGTCAGATCAATGTTGCATGACTTCCGGAAATCAATACCTTAGTTAATAATGATGTTCATAAGATAGGTCATGTGAGGACAAAAGTCGTAAGCTATCTAGCTTTCCCTCTCCTTCATCAAATCTGATTAAACGAACTCATCAGGAGAAAAGAGAGCACACGTTCCTTAATAATTAGGACACTCATTACCCTTGAGCAGGAAATACATGATATGCATCTTAGAAAAAAAGTAAACACGCTGATAAGGAAATACATAATGAGTTCAGCAGCTTTCTTAGGTGCGAAAACATTCTCTTTTAGGAAACACAATAATATAAATATCAATAACTGATCACGTCTTTCCACTCATACCTTTTCTTGCATTTCATTAAGCTGTCAGTAAATGATCATTTGCATGTGACAGTTTATAACTTCATAGTACGTTTTCCACTTTGACTATTACATATTCTACATAATAATTTTTCTTGGCCTTTGGGAAAAGAGAAGTCCTAGTTTGAGTTACGCCTTATATGCCTGTTAGAGCTAACAAATTCTAGTGTTAAATAGTCATTTGGTTGTTGGATATGGACCTATCATTTTGGAGGAATCTCTAACAAAAAAAATATTGTGTTAGCAAATGTATATCTTTTCACAATAGTTTGTCCCCACTTCTTGTTTGTTACTCTATAGCAGCTAAAACTGTATCCTTGTAAATCTGTACTATTCTAATAAAACAGCTGCAACTTGTGGCAAGAATCCATGTGAATGGTACTGACTCTTATCCTAAGAAGTCACATGCTAAACTAGTAAATAACAAGCTTCATTCTGGTCTTCAATAACATTTTGTGGCTCTGATATGGATAAAGATGAACCAACTTTAGCCTTTTGTGCCCACTATCAGGACCAGCTTTTAAGTTTAGAAACTAAAATGTCAGTAATAAAGATAACAGGAAGCAATAAAAGTTTGCATGTGTATCCAGGCTCTCCGAACCCGACCTACATCCTATCCAATTTACCCAACCCAAACAGAAGTCAAGATATGTGACTCATAAATGGGCCCAAAACTTAGAACTGAGACCCCAGATGTGTAGGGTCCACATTTAGAAATTTTAGATGTGACCAGAAAAACCTGAACAAACCTGTAAGACCAGACAATAAACAGTTATAAAGTTTATCTACAGCAATATCACTTGCGAAGGGCCTGATCAAACAGAACCCGAGAAAGATCCCTAGTTTGCTTAATGAATGGATCATGTCTGAATCTACAATGTAGATCCGAAACTAAGCTAAGGATGAAACAAGACTAATCCTGAAACAAATGCTACAGTTGCCCTTAAAATACACGAATTAGAATTAGAATTAGAATTTTTAACAGCAGAAGAATTCTGTATAATTAAGATACAATCAAGCAATGATAAGATTAAAGACTGACAACGTCTTTAAACTAAAATTTCAAAGAAATCGGTTACAGATATAGACTTTGATACTTGGAAAGTAAAAAATGCATGTCAAAATAGTAAAGTTGTGTATGGGTGATGATGAACTTATGTAGAAGCAGAATCCCAGTAAAAAAATAATGTTTCAGTACAAGTCAGCGATCTGGGATAAATAAATAGCCCGCAAACAGGTCAACTGTTCCAGCAACAAGACTCACCACGATGATCAGGCATGGAAGCAGTCTGCCAAAGTCCAAATTGTTTCTGCAAGCAAAAATAGAAGAAACAAATCTTAAGAAATATATAGTGCTAAAATGGAAGAGTAACCCAGACCCTAAAGGAAATACAGTAGAAACACCAACTCAAGGGGAGAATAGGAACAAAACAAAAACAAAATAATGTCACATGGATAAACAATAAATCAACTGCTCTATCTAAATGAAGGGAATTTATGTAGCAAATCAAATCTAAATCTAAATTGATAAAGCTTCAAAACTGTAGCTCCCAAAAAATGAAAATTGCAAAAGACTTCTCAATCATGTTATGAAGCAGATCCTAGTACTCTGGATCCGTATGGAAAAGATCATTGCAGTTGACATCACACTAAGTAGAGTGGACCAAAGTTTGAAAAGTAATCTCTACTACTTAAGAAAAATATCTTATGAAGCAGATCCTAGTACTCTGGATTCATATGGAAAAGATCATTGCAGTTGGCATCACACTAAGTAGAGTGGACCAAAGTTTGAAAGTAATCTCTGCTACCTAAGAAAAATATCAGAAGGGGTGCCTACAATCAGATGCTAACATTCTGAATTACAATGCAAAAAAGAGAGCAAAAGTGGATGGATTTGTTTGCATGCGTGCAAGGATATTTAAGAAATGAAAAGAAAAAGGTATTCTTAGTTGAAGGTGAACCTTTTGTAGGACTGCGCAATTGTATGCTTCCGGCAAAAGAATGTAATTCTACTAGAAATATAACCCTATATTCAACATGTGATGAGGTGAGCACCTACTGTCTGACGGATTGGATGGATCCAGAGGAACAAGTGGAAAGGCTAAAAATAGAAAGCATATTTTTTTACTTGGCACTTAAATATAACCAGTATACAGAGTTGCATAGCTAAATAAGGAGGGCAATTTGTATGATGCCCCAACTAATAGTCTCACAGTGGTTATGTGAGGACATATTAATCGGTTTAAATAGTAAGCCTAGGGATTCAAGTGCAACAACGGTTAACTCATTGTGACAGTGGTTAGACATACAACTCCACAATTAAGCGCTTATGCAAGAGTAGTACCACGATGGGTGACCTCGTGGGAAGTTTGAGTGTTACACTCACTGGATCCCTGGGCTTAACATCGCACCAACAGGCTTGTGGAACTAAGTGTTATTCTATAGTGGGAGTGACCTCAAGAACCCATAGGAGTCACCTCTAGAATCCACATCGCATGGCAATGAAACTGGGATGGGCTGATTGTGTGAGGACATATTAATTGGTTTAAATAGTTAATCATTTTTCGTTGTGGATTAGCCAAACAACTCCGCAGTTAAGCGTGTTCGTGTGAGAGTAGTACTCCTGGGAAATTACAATGTTGCACTCGGTGGATCCAGGGTGACGATGAGAGGTCTAGCTTCTACATTCCTAGGCCACTATCCAGCCGACAATTACTTGAAACTATTGCTCAGAATAAACCAAAAATGGAAGCCTGGAGTAGAGGTAGAGGTTAACTACAACCAACCTATCCTTGTTTTAAGGCAAACTCTAGTGACTTAAGGATAGAATAACATAGATATTTGACAATGAATTTAAATTCTAGTAACCTAGACTACCAAATAACTGGGGAGAAAAAGAAGAAGATAGACGTGTGCAGTAAGTATCATTCTCAAGCAAAATACCTCAGAAGGAAGCCGCATTTCCTCTGAAAATGCTGATGGCTTGTAAAATGTGGACGCATGACTCTGTTCCATAATATCAGATGGCATCTTGCAACTCCAAACCATGAACCTCAACAACAAAATTCAAAGGTTGTAGAGACACTTGCTCCCAAGCTGCAATACCTGGTGGTTGAAATTCATCCAAAATAAGCAAATTAGAAACAAGAAAGGAAATGTTGACCGAAAAACCAAAATAAAACTTGAACAAGCAAGCCCAGTAATATAACGAACTTTCAAGATGGCTACAGAACTCAAAATTCAAGGTTTTCAAAACTCTACCAAGAAAAGGGGAACCATAGAGCTGAAGAAGAAACTTGAACAGAACCAGACAATCATTGTGAGAACATGAAGAAGATCAAGAGAATAGAGTGCAGTATAAATCTAAAAGGAAATTGTGTCAGTAAATTTAGAATGTCTTTTATAAAGAGTGTTATAATAAAAAACTAGAAATTTTAAACAAGTTAATGCAAATATGGTATATCATGATTGCTTGCTAGAGTCAAAATGTAGTTGGTTACCATTAAGGTGTACAAAAGATATAAAAAAAGCCTTAAAGATAACACTGAACAACCAACTTTAAATCTGACCAACCTGAATCTACAAGCACTGAGAAAATTCTACCAAAATAATGAGAAAGATGAAATACTAAGCTGGGATTTTAGAATATTATTATTCAGAAAAAAAAAGGGGAAATTCGAGGAAACTGAACCCAAATTGAGAATTTGAATAACATACACTGATCACCAATAACCCTAACCCCAATAATCAACTTCTCAAGATCAAAAGCGTCAATTGAAATCCCAACTTAAACTAAGATGACAGCAACCAACAACAAAAGCTACAAAGGCTAAAATATTAAGAAAACCACGAATTTTAATAATTTTTCAAAAATGGATACTTTTCAGTAGAAGAATAAAATATAAGGAATCTGAAGATATAAAAAGCTACCAGCTAAATTAAACCTCGCCTCGAACCCCACAATGCTCTGCAGAATTATCCTAAAAAAATCTTCTGTGGTTTTTCAGAATAAAAAATACTAGGGAATCTGCAGGTGATGATTATGCTACAGTAAATCTAATGTAAACAATTCCCAATTCAAGTTGGCGTGACAGTAATAAACAAATTAGAGAAATCGGTGGAGAACTCTCACCATATAGCTTCTTCTTCTTCTTTTCTCTCTCAAAATTCGAAGAAATTAGCACGCGCTTCGCGAATTATGATGAAAGAAATGAAATATTTCTAAAAAGGAAACCTAAATAAAAAGTCAGAGCTATATATATACACGAACTCTAAAGCAAAAAAAACCGCCCAAATTAAGCTTGGATCACGCTCAAAAATCATCATGAATTAAAGAGGAAAACTCCAATTATTTAAAAATAAAATAATTGAAGTTCAATGATAATTCAAAGCAAAACACCGTCAAATTTAAAATAATTGAAGTTCAATAAATTTCATTATTAGAGCGGATATTCAAATTAATGACTTCTAGAAAAAGCGTCATAAAGTAAAAGGCGCGGTTATAATAAAAATTTAAGCTCGGATCTCAATCAATTCCCAAAATACAAATCAAAGCAAAACACCGCCAACTTTAAGCCAGATTTTCAAATTAATGGTTTCTAGTAAAAGAGCCATAAAGTAAAAGGCTAAATGATCATAAAAAATTTAAGCTCCGACCTCAATCAATTCCCAAAATTAAAAAAAAATCAATAAAGATAATAATTACAAAAAGCTAAAGCAAAAACACCGCCAAATTCAAACAAAAAATTGCAACGAGATCGCAGATCAAGCAAATTCTCAAAAAGGAGCAGAATTCTCACCCGATCTCTCGCAATTCTTCAGCTGAGGACTTAGGGTCCGAGAGTGTAGCTTCCGGCGCACGATAAGAAATATCCAGCGCACGATAAGAGATAGCCTAGAGAGAAAAAGCGAGAGGGTTTCCGCGAAGGGATCTCGTCAAAATCCGTGCCGTGCGAGAGATAGGAGCCCGCCCTCTCTCGCCCCCCGGCTCCCCGGAAATTTGCACTCTACCCCCCTGGATTTTTCAAAATTTTCTCCGGCGAGTGAGCGTTCGTGCGCGCTCACTCAGCCGGCGACGAGAGGGGAGGAGAGAGAAAACGAGAGGAGAGAGAAATATAATAATCGAGAAAGGGAGGGGGTAAAGTGGATAAGTTGCGGTAGGGATTAAAGAGCGGAGGAGCGGACCACTCCCCTTCTGACGCGAGAAGTTGTTTTAAATCGTGTATGACGCCGTTAGATTTGACGGCGTCAGGGTTGACGGAGACACACTGTGGGTCAGCCCGGTGATCTAGCTACTGTTATTTTTATCTTTAATTGCCGTAAATACCCTTCAACATAATTTGAAATGACGAGTTTTACAGTGTAGCTCCTTTCGCAATATGAAGGGTAGTTTAGGAATTTGAGGAGAGACTTGACTGTCGCTTCATGCTTTTTTTAAGTGCTGTACGAATCTTGACCGGGGAGTGAGTTATCGATTATTACTTGTTGACTTCGTGTATTTACACCTTTTGTTAGTGATATTTTCATGAAAATTGAGATTATTTATGATAAGCCAACGATCCCGATGTTTGCAAAGGAAGTTTATAATGAAATTTTTATATATGAAGAGAAATATTTAACTTTTAGCGATTATGATGAGAAAATAAGGACGCGGTGCAAGTTTAGATGAGAGGAGTAATTTTGTTGTTGTAAGGTTTGGAGAGAAAATCTATAGAAAAAACAGTTATAAAAATTTACAAAATGCACATCGAAATTAACTCATTGACAATTAAAACATAACACTTCTAAAATAGTTTTGTTGGTAAGAAAAAGTCCAGTTTTGGATTTCTTCATGGGTGTGTCAAATTTTCAAAAATTCCAAAACTGACCTCTCATTTGAAGAAAAAAAAATCAATGTAAATATTCTTATATTTTAAAAATCAACACAAATATCCTCACGCGTATAAAAAAATCAACAGGAATATCCTCACATATAGATAGTGGTGGAGCAGGATTTTATCCTAGCGGTATCTCATATAATTTATCACGGTTTATATTTAAGATGTGCATTGATAATTTTACAACTTTGTTCCTTTCAGAGATGTCATATCCTAATCCTAGTGGTATCCTAAGTAGTAAATACAAGTAGAGATAAATAAAAATATGTATAAAGTAGATAATCTAGTGGTGTCATATGACACAACTAGTAACTATGTGGCTCCGTTACTGCATGTAAAAATGTCATCACATTTGCTTTATCACACACTGGTCGCGCAACTAGCAATCGAACATAGCCTACACACAATAAAAGAGCGGGTAGGAATTAAATAGGTTAAATTATAATATTAAATTTTTATCTGATCTATCTTACCACTTTGGGTTTTTTTCCCCTCGACATCGTTTTGGGTTCATGGTGCAAAAAGACCCAAAAGTTGGTCGTCAGCCAAAGAAACTCATAAATCTCTAATGTGGAGTGTGTTAAAGGATAATTATTTTAGTGATCAAGGTCAATTGAAGCACATGAGAAGCATGTGGTCACCTCCGTCTTAATTTTATTCAAAATTATGGTAAAAAATTAGGTTATGGTTTAAATCAAAGTTCTCCTATCTCACTTTCATCTTCATCTTTCTCCAAATTTAATTGATCAATCCGCCTATTTTTAAATTTGATGTTGAACTTGGAAAGGGGATGTTGAATATTCAAGAAATTTGGAGAATTTGAAGGTGATGAATGAAATCAAGAGACCATCACGCACTTCTCGTGTGCTTCAACTAACTTTAATCACGAAAATGATCATTCTTTAATATACTCTATTTCAGCTATTCATCTTTTTTTTTTTTTGGCTGGTGCAACAAATTAAATTAACTCTAGAGCAAGGGGGGGAAAATACCAAAATGATAAAGAGTTAAGAAATAATGTCAACCTGCTAAATATATTTAAAATAAATATGTAAGGCTCGTCACAGAGCCGCATTCAATCATTAACTTAATTTCTCCATCATGCCATAATGGAATGTCGCCACCTTGTTTCGCTACGTTCCCAACGGAGATGGGCCCACTAATTACCAGTTTCTATATCACCTTCTACGTGTCGATTCATTAAATGAAAGATAGCATGTTTGCTGTTTGCAGCTAGAGAGGCAGTCACTTGATTAGATATATGTCGACGGTCACACGCAACAGGCACGTGGGAGGTGGAGAATGGNGGTTCGGTTACGAGCAGCCACCTGCTCACAAGAATCTATCTATTCGTATTTGAACGTATAATTTTTCAAATTGTACGTGTTTCAGTACTAATCGTAAAGATATTGCAGTAATTATATATGGCTTTATTTTCGGCTAAATACCAATATTGGTATTTTAATTCAATCTCATTTAACAAGAATATATTTTAATTAGGCAAACATGCTTTAAGGCATTTTAATTGACTTAACTTACCAACAAGGCTTTTTTTCTCGTCGGCGACCAGTTTTTCGGTGACAGCTCGTTACGTGCGTTGCACGTGATGACTTAAACTATTATTAAGCAGCTGATGTGGCACGATTTTCTGACGTGGACAAAGCAGTTGGGAGAATAAAAGAGGGGATTCAAGCTCTTGTTTAGGTGAGATTGGAAAAAACTAGGGTTTATCAAATTAGGGCATTCAAGCTGTGATTGAGCGTGGAAGAGAAGTTATTATGTCGTCGTCATCAAGTTCAAGCTCTCATTCTAAAGCAAGCTGGGTCAGTGGAAGATTGGGATCGCATGTAAGTATTAATCATGGTTTGAATGCTTTGGCAGGTATTAGAAGGTGGAATGAGGAAGCAAGGATGGTTGGCATGAAAATCTGTAAGTGTGAAATGGATTATGGGTATTATACATCATTTACAGATGAAAATTCTGGGAGAATGTTTTATAAATGTCAGAATCCTAATGGTGGCTGTGAAATGTGGGAATGGTTTGATAAACCTGTGTGCAATGTGTCTTCTACTCTATTTCCTATTCTACGAGATGAAATAATTAACTTGAGGAGTGACTTGAAGCTCAGGGATAGGCGGATTCAAAGAGTTGAGGCCAAAGTGAAGGCTTGCCATGTTAAAAATGCCAAGTTTAGAGACCAGCTCCAGGTTTTATGCGATGAGAAATCTTGCGCTAATATCAAATTTGACAGATGTGAGATTCAGATTAGAGGGTTTGCTTCAATTGGAGAAGAAGAGGATGATGTTGCTCAAGAGAGGAAGTATGATATCACTTTTGTTTGTAGTAGTTTTTATTTGCGTATTTTTTTGTTTATGGACATGGACATGTAATGTTTCAGAGCAAACTGTATGAATTATTGAATTTAATGAGAAGAAGCATTGAACATGAAGATCTGTCAATGTTTAACAGAAAATTTTGGCATGGTATACCCTGTTTTCATGAATTTTCTTTGTGAGTAAACCTGTACAATATAGTTTTCATGTGACAAAGCATACTCACAAGTTTAAGTTCATGCCCAGAAGCTCATATTCACATTGCACAATCAACATACTAACCAGTAACCACAAGCTATGTAGAAATACACATTGCAAAATGAACAAAACCAGATTTTCATGATCACCATCAGTTTAACTATTTGCACATAGTCACATTGCACAAGAGTATGTGTTTGTCATGTTTACAGTCACCATCAACAAGTAAAAAGTCATTCAACTACATAAAGTCTATATATTACCAAAAACTAAACTATAATTACATATAATTACAACCCATTATTATGTGCACATGAAGCCTGTGTATGCTCCTCTTGGTGTACATCCTCGGTTGAAATTGGAGTTGAATCTTGTATGATTGTTGCTTGAGAGGCACTTGGATCTCTATAAGCTATTTCACCATGATCACCATGCCATAGGCCAAAACCCTCTGGCATAATGGCTTCATTATTTCTGTCTCGGCCCCGTCGTATATCACTCCTTCCTCTAGCATTTTGAGATTGAGCTTACAGAATACATAACAAATTCATATATCCGTAGGAATCTATATGAAAACTTGGTGCACAAGAGTATGTATTGTTCATTACCTCTAGCCATTGCTCTTCTATTTATGAAAATTTGAGATGGTGGAAGAGGGTTAGTTTGACTAAGCTATTCAATGGAATTGTTAGGTCTGGTTTTGCTCCCCTTTAGTCTTCCTCTCTTATTCCTTCCACTTGTGCCTTCATCAAGAACTTGAGATTGATTTTCCTAGAAGTAAATCAATGGAGAAGTTAGATTTTCTTAGTAAATCTATATGAGATTATTAAAAATATCTAAATAATTAGCATTTTAATACCTATTGATGTGTTGGCGTTGGAGGATGTATTGCTGCATCAGGACAACTGGGTCTTCTATGCCCTGTTCTATGACAATTGCTACACTTTTATGTTAATCCCTGCCTTGATGACCTAGAAGGATGCTTGGAACCTTAAGATGAATCTCTCCTTCTAGCGGTTTTGGGTCTCCCCTTTGGCCTTCTAATAATATTTGGAGGTAACACCATTCCCTCTCCCTCTGTATCCTAATAATTACTCCCTTGTAATGGATTCAACATTCCTCCATAGGCAATCAAATAGTTTTCTTGAGAATACATCTCTGATAAGTACATTTTAGGTTTCCTTCTCATAAGCAAGATAGCACTAACTGCATGTGTGCATGGAATTCCTTTCAAGTCCCAAGTCCTACATGTACATGTTATATTTTTCAAATCTACTGCATGACTTTGCCCTCTATGGATTATCTCAAAACCAGTTTCATTTTCATCCCCATTCCAATGGGCACGACAATGAACTTGCTCCTCATATGCTTCCTTCAACTTCTTATGAATTCTAGGTGCAACTCCCCCCACAAATTTTCCTATGAGTTTCTTTTTCTCTTGCATTCTATCCATTATAGATAATCTAATATCCTCTAACATGGACACTATAGGTTTATATCTTGCAAGTAATATAAAAAAGTTGAATGTTTCGGCCATGTTGTTGTCTACAACATCACACTTACTATGGCATTTGAAATGAGACTTACAGAATGTGTGGGGGGTCTCTAGCCATGAAGTCTTCATAAGCTTGCTCTGAAATTCTCCTTAGCTTGGCAGCTTCAATTGCAAAAATTGGCATAGAGGTGGCTTTAACACATTTCCAAAATTGACTTTGAAGGACCCTCCCACTATGAGTTTTCCTCCAATTAGAATAAATGTGCCTAGCACATTGCCTATGCTCAACTTCTGGCCACACTTCATGTATAGCTGGAACCAATCCCTAAAATACATACCTAGTTAATCACAATGAGTTAATAAAAGAAAAATAAAAATAAAAATAATCTTGCACAAACCTTTTGTTGGTCTGACATAACTGTCCAACCACTACCATCATTCATGTTTAGATCCACAGTCAAAATTCTTAGGAACCATTGCTATGGGCCACATTTGGTTATTACCATCCCTCCCCACAGCACAAAGTAATTGCCCTCCACAAGCATGTTTCAAAAAACAATCATCAAGACCAAATATTCTTCTATACCCCAAAGTGAAACCCATCTTCAGTGCCTCAAAACAAACATAAAATCTAAGAAATGTGCTTGGTTATCCTGGCTCTCCCTCAGCCACCTTCAGAACACAAGTAGTTCCTGGATTTGACCTTATTAGTTCTTTCATGTAATGTTTTAGCAAACCATACTGTCTTTGCATTAATCCTTGGACTGCATTTAGAGCTTTCTCCTTCGCCCTCCTACATTTTTTCAATGTCACATTAATTTGAAAATTCTCATAAATGTCAGATAAAATGCTGCTTGGCTTCATCTTTGGATCCCTCAGAATTTTATCAAGATAAACATGTGCAATCCAGTTATCAGTTATTAATCTATTTTTAAAAGTCCCGCTGCAAGTATGATCATGATTAATAAATTTTATTTGCCAAACACCAGCCTCATGACAATCTGGACCAGCAGTCATCTCCCAAAAGCAAAGTGAACAGCCAAGGTGAATCCTCTTATTGTCATTCTTCATGTACACTAGAACATAGTGCCTTTGAATAGAATAATGTAGAATAGCCTCCTTTAAGACATTCCTAGAAGTAAACTTCAACCCTTAAAAAGAAATTAAACACAAACGATTAGTAGAGCAATGATGAATACTTATAATTAAGACAAAACAATAAAATAATAAATGCAGTGCATACCTAGCTCAAAATACACAGCTTTCATATCCACTCTCTCATTAAAAAACTTGTAGTTCACTCTTCCTTTTTTTCACTCTTCCTTTTTTTTAATTGAATCCATATTGATCTCAGGTGCTTCATGATCACTGTCAAAGAATGGTCCCTCATCATTACTGCTTCTTTGATCACTCTGATAGCCTCCTTCATAATTTGTCCAAAAACTAGGCTAGTTTTGAGCTTTAGGAATTATGCCTCTATAGTTTGAACCTCATACATTCAATCCCACAAATAGATTCTCTGACATTTGCACTTCTGCACTATGTGCTTGGTTAATGGTTACATCTGTATCATGAATAAGGATGGAACTGGTGTTGGCTTCATTAACTTGTTGTGGTTGTGATTCAGGTTGTGATACACTGGGTGGGACTACCACTGTAGGAGGGGAACCATCTAAATCATCTACCAATATTGCCCCAGCATTAAATGTTATTCTACCCTTCTCCTCATCTAAAATTTTCTTATTTTTTTGCCTTATTTCAAACCACTCATCATCATCACTTCCTACTGTCTTATGAGTCTCACTTTCTTCAGATTCTGCCGAGTCTACATCTCCACCATCATCAACATTTGAAACCCCTACTCTTACATCAATGCCCTCTCCAACACTTTCATCTACATTCTTATTAGTCTTCATTATTTACTTTTCCTTTCTTGATCTATTCCTTGCACTAAACTCATCAAATAATTCATCATCTTCACCATCATCATCATACAATGGCTCGGTGGGATCAATTCTGAAATTTTCATCCTCCACTGAGTCATCATCATCATCACTAGAAGATGTTTGTGCAACTTTGTGAGGGGGTGAATTGGAGGGAATGGGCAATGGTGAAATAGTAGGGTTTGAAACACTTCATTGGCCCTCTTTTACATGTAGTCTTTTTTTGGGTGTTAACTTCTTTCTCTTAGTCATAGGAATTTTTCTTTTAGGAGATGTAGCAATTGAAGTAGCACCTTCAATAGGGAGATGCACTTCTTCTGGTATGTCAACATTGTGATTTGCATAGATTTCTATCGCTCTGTCCCTCAATGCATGATCAATCATTTCTGCAAGATCTTGGTCTGAATTTAGAGGCTTTAAACCTCCACTAGCCAGTCCTACACTAGGAATAGCATAATACAACATGGCGATATTGTTATAACCATATTCTTTTACACTAATCTTCAATTGTTCTAATGAAATATCTTGTGCATCACAAAACTCAACATCAAATAAACCACTGATGTACGCCACATTACTTCCGAAGTTAAATGAACCCCCATGTCTATATTTAATCATAATTTGCATAGGCATCTGCATAATTTACGAAAAAAACCTAATTGTGAAAACCCTAATTCTATCAAATCTAACAAAAGTCAAAAAAATTTTGGTTTATCTTTCATTTAACTCAAACTAAATACATGATTAACTTATCCTCTTCAAAACCACCAAAAGATCTCATAAGTATAAAGAGAATCAAACCTTCGCATCGGCTTCAACCCGTGCCAAGTCGTCGTCCTCCAAAAATCACCTTCTGCATCAACTAAGGAACACCATCACATGGAATCCCTGCAATCTATCTCCTTCAACTACATCCTCCACGATTTCTCACTCTCTATTTCTCTCTCTCTCGCGCGTTCAAATTCTAAAAATTGAAGGGGTGAATATGTCCTATTTTGGTGAATTGGGATTTTTATAGGGTTAATTCCCGCCATTAAACACTACCACGTCAGAAAACAGTGCCACATCAGCTGCTTAATAACAGTTTAAGTCATCACGTGCAACACACGTGACGAGCTGTCGTCGGAAAACTGGTCACCGACGAGAAAAAATGGCCTTGTTGGTAAGTTGAGTCAATTAAAATGCCTTAAAGCAGGTTTGCCTAATTAAAACATCTTCTTGGTAAATGTGGTTGAATTAAAATACCAATATGGGTATTTACCCCTTTATTTTCGCTAAGGGGTTGTTTGCTTGAGGGTTTTTCGGGATTGTAATACTGTAGGCGTGTCTATTGGGTATCAACTCAAACTCCAAGTTAGTATAGTGTTTTTAATTCTTTGTATAACTTCATGAGAATTAGATAGGATTAGAGATCTATCACGATTAGGAGTTTGGGTTTTATCATGATTAGGAATTTGAATCTTATTCTAATTAGGAAGTTAGGCTAGAGATAGGGTTTTGGTTTTTCTATATATATTCTTCTATTGTTGGAGGAAATTTGGTGAATTGGGATTTTTATAGGGTTAATTCCCGCCATTAAACACTACCACGTCAGAAAACAGTGCCACATCAGCTGCTTAATAACAGTTTAAGTCATCACGTGCAACACACGTGACGAGCTGTCGTCGGAAAACTGGTCACCGACGAGAAAAAATGGCCTTGTTGGTAAGTTGAGTCAATTAAAATGCCTTAAAGCAGGTTTGCCTAATTAAAACATCTTCTTGGTAAATGTGGTTGAATTAAAATACCAATATGGGTATTTACCCCTTTATTTTCGCTAAGGGGTTGTTTGCTTGAGGGTTTTTCGGGATTGTAATACTGTAGGCGTGTCTATTGGGTATCAACTCAAACTCCAAGTTAGTATAGTGTTTTTAATTCTTTGTATAACTTCATGAGAATTAGATAGGATTAGAGATCTATCACGATTAGGAGTTTGGGTTTTATCATGATTAGGAATTTGAATCTTATTCTAATTAGGAAGTTAGGCTAGAGATAGGGTTTTGGTTTTTCTATATATATTCTTCTATTGTTGGAGGAAAAATAAAAGTGTAGAGAGAAGGAGAGAGACAATATTCTTGTAATCAAGGTTTTAGAGGGTGTAACGGGATTCAAGGGTATTGTGAGAGAGAAAGTTTGGCAGCCTTTGTCCGTGCAAAAGATTATAATTTGAAGGTGATAGTGGATTGATTTTAATCCTGTGATTTTTTCTATTGAGTGTTTTCCATGTTAAATTTTGTGTGATTTTATTTGCTACGTTTGGTGGTTTTTCAGGGTTTTTTGTGAGATCCAAAAATCTCAACAAGTGGTATCAGAGTAGGGTTTGACGGTTCGTAAAGGTTTGATCAGTGCGCGATTCGTGAAGGCGTCAGCGGTCGAAGCGCGGTGATCGACATCGGTAAAAAAAGTTATTGTAGTGATAGCACTGTAGTGGGGGTACTGTAGCAGAAGTATTGTTCACACGGATCCGACGGTTGGGATTAATTTGTCTTTTGATCGAGGATTTGAAGGCAGATTTTAGTGATCCAGGAGTCGCTAGGGTTTTTCGACGTGTTGAGTTCGTTTTTGACATTGGTTTTATCAAATTCAATCTCTACAGTGACTGGTTTTGAATTTTGATTGCGATTAGAGGATGATGACTTCTTTGGGTCCGAAGTTCGATATCCCGCTATTCAATGGTAAGACAAATTTTGCAGTATGACAGTGCACGGTTCAAGATATTCTTATGCAGCAGAGTGTTGATCAAGTTTTAGAGGAGAAGAAACCTGAAGGGTTGAAGGATGCTGAAAGGAGTTCCATGCAAAAGATGGTGGTTAGCATAATTCGTTTGGCACTCACCTTCGAGATTAAGTATAATTTTATGCAAGAGATCACACCAAGGGGCTATGGGAAAGACTCGAGGGGATTTATGCGTCAAAGTCGATGACCAACCGATTGTGTTTGAGGATGGAGCTTTATTTATTGAAGATGGAAGAAGGTATTGCAATTCAAAACCACATCAATGCCTTTAATCAGCTAGTTTGCCAACTTATAAATATTGATGAGAAGATTAAAGAAGAAGAGCAGGTGCTACTCCTATTGTCTTCCTTGTCGAAGTCGTACAAGCCGTTAGTTCAGACGATAATTGCAGGGAAGCAGGCTTTAAAGTTCGACGATGTGATAACACTTCTATGTGAGAATGAAAGAATGATGGGAAAGAAGAGCGCATCTAATGGTGGTGAGAGTGCACTAGCTTTTTAAGGTTCTAATCGAGGGAGGAGTAAGAGGAGATGTGACAGTTATCGAGGAAGGTCAAAATATCGGGCCTGATACGATAGCAAAAATGAGTGCTATTATTGCGGAGAGAATGATCACATTCAGTTCAGATGTTCCCAGATGTGTGATGATTTGAAGAGTATTAGACAGATGAAGCTTCAAGAAAATGGGAAGAATGCGGACTTCTTGGTGGTTGTGTGTGATGAAGATGTGGTGTTATTGATGCAGAGTACAGGTACTGATGCGAGTAGCAATTGGGTGTTAGATTCTACAGCCTCTATACACGTTTGCAACAACAAAAATTATTTTAACATATTAAAGACAGATGAAGAATTTGATGACGTGATTGTTGGAAACAACAAGAAGATGAAGGTTGAAGGTGTTGGAAGTGTTCGCCTCAGGCTTCACACTGGGAAGGTCAAAATTCTTCATCATGTGAGATATGTGCCGTCATGTGATGCTAATTTAATTTTGTTGGGTGAGATGGCATCACGTGGGTACAAGTATGTTGGTGAAAGAGAATGGTGCAAAGTGTATAGAGATGGTGATTTGATTTTGTAAGGGAGGAAGAATAACAACCATATTTGCTATTTAGATGGGCGATCCGTTAATATTATAGATTACTCTTCTCAGACTCTTGTCCACAAGGGAGAGGTGAAGAATAAGATGAAGAGAGTGAGTTTTTCTGAAGCCGTTGAGACACTTAGAGATTTTTCGTCGATGGAGGATATGTTGGGTATCAACTCAAACTCTAAGTTAGTATAGTATTTTTAATTATTTGTATAACTTCATGAAAATTAGATAGGGTTAGAGATTTATAATGATTAGGAGTTTGGGTTTTATCATGATTAGGAATTTGAATCTTATTCTAATTAGGAAGCTAGGCTAGGGATAGGGTTTTGGTTTCCCTATATATATTCTTCTATTGTTGGAGGGAAAAAAAGAATAGAGAGAAGGAGAGAGACAATATTCTTGTAATCAAGATTTTAGAGGGTGTAACCGGGTTCAAAGATATTGTGTGAGAGAGAGGGTTT